TAATTTGGATAATGAAAAAGACTAAAAGAAGTGATGTTACTCTTGTTAAATATGTTCATGGTATAGTCATTTTTGTTAAAAATAAAGGATCGATGGCACCTGACAACAATAACAACCTGCTAGAGGGAGTCCTAAGGAGCTCTGGTAGCGTAGTGGTTACGAATTGGGCTGCGAGCCTTAAGGCCAGCGGTTCAAAACTACCAGCTGCTCCGCGGGAGACAGATGAGGCGTTCTGTTCCTGTAAAGATTTACAGCCTCGGAAACCCTGTACTGGGTCGCTATGGGTCGGAAACGACTCGACGGCACTTAACAACAACAACAAGAGGGAGTCCTGGTTGGCGCTATGGGTTAATGCTAGACTGCAAAGTCAGTTTGAACTGCAAAGTTGGCAGTTCAAACCCCCCAGCTGCTCCTCAGAAACCCTATACAGAGTCATTATGAGTCAGAACTGACTCAATGGCACTTAACCAACAAACAACAGCCTGCTAGAGCTACTCATTGAAGTCCTCACCGGTGAAACATGAACGTGTCTAACATTTGCTTGAAAATTGTACAGGTGATACCAGAAAATAAGGAAGTGCTCAGAACCAAACAAAAAATGCTGAGGCATAGGCAGCAGAGCACAGGAGCCAGCCAGAAAGAGCTCCCAGTGGCCACAGCTTGGGACAATATGAAAAACAAAACAAAAAGCATTCAGTTAGATAACCCAAAGAATTTAGTAAAGACCCCCGCGTCCACACTTATTAGGTTCTTGTGTTAGGGACTGATGACTTGGTTCCAATTCGTAGTAACCCCAGGTCCAACCAACAAGCCACGGGCCAATCTTGTGCCATCCTCATGAGTATTGTCATGTTTAAGTCCACTGTTGCTGTCACCGTATCAGTCCATCTTGTCGAGGGTCGTCCTCTTTTCCGCTGACCCTCTACTTTACCAAGCACTATGTCCTTCTCCAGGAACTGGTCCCTCCTGATAGCGTGTCCAAAGTACAAGAGACCAAGTTTCACTGTCCTCACTTCCAAGGAACATTCCGGCTGTACTTTTCCAAGACAGATTTGTTTGCCTTTGTGGTAGTCTGTGGTGTATTCCATATTTTTCACCAACACCGTAATTCAAAGGCATTGGTTTGTCTCTGATCTTCCTTAACCATTATCCAGCATTTACATGCTTATGAGGAGATTGAAAATACCACGACTTGGGTCGGGTGCACCACAGCAGTCAAAGTGACATTTCTGCTTTTGCAGTTGAAAGTGGTTCAGTTAAAAGTTGTCATTGTTAAGTGCAGTTGAATCACTTCTGATTTATAGCGACCCTGCATAGAAGGACCCGCCACCTCGCTCCACCCCCCCAAGTCCATGAAAACATCAGACAAACCTAAATAAGAGACATTTCTCCACAAGACCTTTTCAGTTAGGATGGGTTTTTGTGGTCGCGTTGGTTTACCTGGTATACTTGTTGGGTTTTGTGTGAATGCCTTTCTAAGAGCCCTTGGTCATGAACTACAAGGAGAACTGGAGCATCGCTCTGAGGGAACCAGGGAGACGGGGGCCGCTGAAATGCATGTGAGGTCTTAGGTAGGGGCTGTGACAGAATAAGGACACGAACTCTGTATAACAGCAGTAGTTTAGGGACTGATTCCGTACCCCTATCTGTGTCTTGTCACAGGGGCTTGGGGGGGTGGGGAAGTGGCTGGGAGACTCTGGTGCCCACCAAGCACTCAGCCATATCCTCTCTCTCCCTGGCAGTGCAAAGAGCCGTCTCTCTCTTCTCTCTAAATGACCCAGCCCTGAACCCGGACGTCCCACCTGCACACAGCCCTGTCCACAGCCACCTGAGCCTGGAGAGGGGCCCCCCAACGCCCAGGACCACCCCTACGATGAGGTGAGATTCCTTTGGGATTACCCAGGGGCTTGGCAATCCATGCACTGGGAACCCAGCAGTGCCCCAAACTCAGCCCCAGTCCTTATACAGTGTACGTCCCGTGGAAACCACTCTGGAACCAACACTTAAACTGGGTTAACTGATTTCAGGTTTGAATACTAAGTACTGCCTCACTGTCCCGCCCTTTCCCTCAGCTTCCCCCTCTCTCTGCCCTCGGTTTCCCCATCTCTGCCCTCAGTCTCCCCCCCACCCCCCCACATAGCCCTAGATCATGCAGACTTGCACCTGTCCCCTACCAGGTCTTGTGGAGGGCTGAGATGTTCCCAGGCCCTGCCCTCAGGAGGCTTCTTCACCTGGGGAAGGAGGGAGGGGTCATGACAGCAGAGAGCTTGCACTGAGGGCCGCCTGTCTGACCACACTGCTGGCGTGGGAATGGATGTGGACTCAGGGCACACCTCATGGTGCGGCATTGGAGCTACGGATGTCCACGCACTGGATGGGCAGCTAAAGTAATGCCTGGGGTTCATTTCTGCTCTCCTGTTTCCTGCCTCACTCTCTGGCTTCAGGGCTCCTCCCCACCAAGCTGTGGACCCACTGTCTTCCCACAGAGAAGTCACAACTGGTGTCTATTAGGGCGGGGGGCACGTACAGGGCGGGTCTCCGGTCGCTCAGAGCCTGCCTCGTCCCATCTGCGCCTACCTCCGTCAGCAGGAGGAGTTTGGGTTCTCCCCTGCAGGGTGGGAGAATCTGCATACGGGGGGAGCCACAGGCTATGGGACCCACTTAAACCCCAGCAGAACCGCAAGGTCAGCAGTTCGAAACCACCAGCTGTACCGCAGGAGAAAGATGAGGCTTTCTGCTCCTGTAAAGATTTACAGCCTCGGAAACCCTGTACAAGATTGCTATGAGTCGGAAAGGACTCCACGGCACATCACCACCACCACCACCGATACTTGGTAGAGCAGTGTCCCTTGCCCAAGCCTGGGCTTCCTCCTCTGTCCAGTGGTCATCATGCTGGCGGCCTCTGAGCTTCAGGCTGTCTGCAGAGGCATGCAGTAATGGCAGGCCCTCATTGGCTTTGCCCTTCTGGGCATTTGTCCCCTCATCTGCCTCCAGGACAGAGCCTGCGGCATGCTAGGTACTCTGGGTGTTTGTGGAATACAGTGGGCACCCAGGGATAGCTTCTCCCTAAGTCTCAACGCACCCAGTCCCCAGCTCTGGGATAAACACAGGCACACACGCCATCTTCAACAACCTACACAGATGTGCCATGGTGGACGAAGCGTGACCAGGGATGGCTGGCTCTGCCTTCCCCTTAGAGCTGCTCTTCACGGCATCCTGAAGGACTCCAGAAAGAAAGACCCTTGGCCAAACCTCAGGGACAAAGGAGCTTGTACCCTGGGTTCCTCACAAGTGTGAACAGAGACCCTCCCCAGGGCTCTGGCCTGACCCTGCCGCCTGTCTTTGCAGCGAAGAGCCGCCCCTGGACCTGACGGGCAAGGTGTACCAGCTGGAAGTGATGCTGAAACAGCTACACACAGACCTCCAAAAGGTAAGGCTCCTCCCATGGCCACGCCCCCACACCCCTTCCCAGCCCCTGAGGCCACACAGCACCTGTCCTGGCTCCTCCTTACCTTGGCTCTTCCTGGGACAGCCAGCCAGCCTCAACTATCCTCATGAGTAAAGATTACAGAGCACCGCTGAAGGTTCCTATGACTCATAGCCAAGCACCACGAAGTGACGACTTGAAAGGGCAGAAAATTCCCTCCATGCTGAAGGCTGAAGGTTGGAAGGCTAAGGGAAGGGGCCTTCTCTCCAGCTCCAGGCAGCTGCAGCCATCCTTGGGGGTTGCTTGGTTTGTAGCTGTAGCACTTCAGTTTCCTTGTGTGCATCTGTCTTGACGTCTTCGTCCTTCTCTATACCCCTACATCTCGATGTCCGTCTTCTTATAGGGTCAGCAGACATATTGGATTTAGGACCCCCTCCCCAGGCCCCACGCAGTGCGGATTACATCACATCTGCAATCACCTTATGTCCTAAGGTCTTGTTCACAGGCTCTGGGTGCACATGAATTCTGGGGGACAGGTCCATCCTAGTACAGCTGGGAACCACCGGAGGAACTCTGAGAGGTTCTTGGAAGGATGTTTCATCAGCCTAACCTACTGAGCATACTTATCTGTGAATTAATTGGGTGACTTGTTGGGCCCAGCACCTTCTGCTGAGGGCGTTAGCACAGACAGGCCTGTCGCCGGAGGATGGCTGTAGGAACACCAAGACAGCCATGCAACTCACATAACAGAAATGTGTACGGGGCTTCTCAAAGCTCCTGGGGAAATGAAATCGAGAGATGGAATTTTTCTGCAAAGTTTTTAACGCCCCTGCGAATTTATGGACACACGAAAGGGCCAGTGACATCAGTAGAAAACAAAATTTAACTGCAGAGCTGTGTCAGAGAATGGCATCATCCTAAAAACCATGGTCACAGCACAAGTCCAGAGTGGCGGCTGAAAGGCTCCCAAGCCGCAGGAGGTGAGGAAAAGAGATGGAAGGAGGAAGGAGAGCACACTTGTTGCTGCATAGACTTTTGGGTAAAAAGGCCAAAAGCTGGTGGCAGCATATAATGTGTTAAGTCCTTGAACACAGGAAGCAGAAGGGTCTAGGTTCAAATTCCCACCCCACCACTTAGCATGATCCTGGACAGGCCCAGTAGCTGCCGTAGGCTGTGGCGTGATACTGGAAGGGTGTCTGGGCAGAGGCGGTGGGCTTGGTCAGGCAGTGAGCCCCGAGACCTCGTCTCAGCTCCCCACTCACTGCACTAGGCTTGGTTTCCTCTCCCCCGGAGGATAGGTATGACAGCACCCCCAAGTCCCTGAGGGCGCTGTGAGAATAAAATGAGGTCATAATACTAATAATAGTGATGTCTGCTGAAGGAAGGACCGTTCCCTGTCAGGCTGCGTTCTAACACCTGTACGTGGTTAACTCTAACACCTGTTAACCCACCTTCCCACCCCACACACGCAAAAAGGGGCCATGGAGTTGATTCAGACTCAGCCCGACCCTGTGTAGAGCTTCCATACTGCGAATCTGCAGGGACAACCTCATCTTTCCTCCCTGGCATTTGGCAGCACCACCAGATAGGTCTTATCCCTTTATAGGGTAAGGGGCCCTGGTGGCACAGTGGGTCAAGTGTTGAGCTGCTAAAACAAGGTTCAAACCCACCAGCCGCTCCAAGGGAGAAAGATGAGGCTGTCTCCTCCAATAAAGATTACAGCGTGAGAAACCCTAAGGAGGTCACCCAGCGTCAGAACCAGTCCTCACCAGCAGTGGCTTTTGAGTTGAGGAAACCAGAGGCCCAGAGAGGACAAGTGACTTGCCCAAGGTTACTCAGCAGTTAGGAAGCAGAGCTGGGATTTGAACCCTGGCAGCCGGGCCTCACTGGCGGGGGGAGCTGCCGCCGCCCCACTAACAGCCAGTTCTCCTGCCCCCTCCACCCCCCACAGGAGAAGCAGGACAAGGTGGTGCTGCAGTCGGAGGTGGCCACACTGCGGCAGAACAACCAGCGCCTGCAGGAGGAATCCCAGGCGGCCAGTGAGCAGCTGCGCAAGTTCGCCGAGATCTTCTGCAGGGACAAGAAGGAGCTCTGAGGTGACCAGTGGAGGAGCTCTGAGGTGACCAGTGGAGGTCCCAGCCGACAGCCCAGCCCGTTGCTGGTCCCATGGGCAGACTGGGCGCCTGTACTCCCCTGACTCTCAAGCATGGCTCCGGGTGGTCGGTGTCGCCGAGATCACCCAGCCACCCCACAGCCCTGCCCGTGGACTCCAAAACCACGATGTCAGTGCATCCAGCGCCCCTCGGGGCTGGTCGTGGTTGACATGTTCTCAGGCATCCCTCTGGGCTGCACACTTGTAGCCTCCTGAGGGCAGGGCCACCCACCCCCAGAGGGGCTCATCTCACTGTCCCCATCTAGCCTCTTCCTAGGACCAAGCCATCAAGCTGTAGGAAGGGGGAGTGGGGGAGTGCAGGGGAGTTGTTTAAAGTCCCCAAACCCCAGGGCTCTGCTCTGGGAGTTCACAAACCAGGTTTCCTCACCAAGTATGAACCCATGATCAGAAAGCATGTGCTCCCAGTCCCTTCCTCCAAGAAGCAGCCAGGAAGAGCACTTTCTGAGACGGGAAGTTATTTTCTTAAGGGGTCCCAGATGGAATGAGGAGACCCCAGCACCCAGAGAGTAAACCTCCTGCAAAAAGAACTCGGTACTGGGGAGACGGTTTCTATAGCCTTTTTCTGTCAGCTGCTCTGCGGCCCAGAGGCTGCTGGCCAGGCCAGGCCAGGCCCTGGTGGTCCTCTACTCCTCCCACCCCAGCAAGACCTAGCCGGGCCACAGCAGCCATGCCCTCTCCTGGGCACCCAGAGGGCTCCACGAAGTCTTAGGGACAGGGCTGGAAATAAGCAACTGCCACCTAATCTGCTTTTGCTCCCCTTCATGAATGAGTCTCCCAGCCTCTGTCACAGGCCCCCCACCAGCGGAGACCACTGGACACTTTCACTGTGCTTCCCCAGAGTACGTTGCTGGGTGAAACCCTCCCCGCCCCCCAGACGCTGGTTCTCAATAGGCAATAAGGGGCAGCTTGCTAAAGCCAGTGTGGTACTACGCGATTCACCCAGGAAACAGGTTTTCTTTTTTTTTTCCTTCTTTAAAAACAAAATATATATAAATATATATATTTATTTTTTCATGTAGAGTTGCGCCAGTAAGTCTGTATGGCCGCAGTCTGTGGGATCTCAGGCTGAGGACCGAGGCATGTCTCTGTGGGCTGGGGCGTCAGTGGGAGGACAGAAGGGGCTCCCTCTGGGGGAAAAGTCTTGGAGCCCCTCACTAGGGTCCTGGAGCCAGCGCCAGGTCAATAACCAGGCACCTCAGGAAAGGGGGCTTCTGGGACCCCACAGGATGTAACCACAATGGGAGGTACCCAGTTGGGGAAGGCGAGAGAAGTGGGCACTTAGTGTGCCTCCCCATGATCGCCCTCTGACCCCCGACCCTCTGCAGTGAGAGGAACTGGGCAGCTCCCTCTCCCCGCCCGACTAGGAGATGGGGACCTGCAGGCCATGCTCCGCAGCCCTGGCCAACTACTGTGACGTCTCTGCCCCTCTCCCATCTTCCCCTCTTCAGGGGCGCCCCAGTTCCCTCAGACGCCAACCTGGAGCTTTTTTTTTTTTTTTCATCATCTCTCCTCCTCTTCAGATCATTCTAATCATTTTGGGGACCTAATCATGTACATTGACCAGTGTAAATTATGATTTTTGGGGTAATTGTTTTCAATTTTTTAAGGATCTCTACAAAACGAATCTATTTAATTTGAGGTTGGTATTCTATCTGATGGCTAAAGAGTTTGTGTTTTCAAATGTTGATTTGTTTCATTTGGATTTTTTTATTATTATTCTCTATTGCCTTTTTATTTTATTTTTCCTTCCTTGTCTTGAGATTTTCTGGCATGTTTCTGGAGGTTTCAAAGGAAATAAATGTTTCATAGAAACGGCTTGTGTGTTCCTTGGTGTAAGGGCAGCAAAGGCATTCATTGCCTGTACCCGACATGGCTCCTTCCTTCCAAACCTGTGCCACACAACATGCACGCTCTTCCCTCAGAACCAAGAAGCACCAGCCTTGTCAACTTCATTTCCTTGGAACCCAAAGAACAGCAATCCAACTCTCGGAAGATACGTGCCCTTACGTTTAAAAGAAAAAATGCTAGATTCTAACACAGAAGTCTGACACTGCAGTCCAGAAAGTCATGGCCCACAGAGCAATGTGTTTGTTAGCATCAGTAGTCACAAAGAAAGCAGATGACCAGCTTGGTATGTCCCTGGGCTTCCAACCTTTGTAGCCACATTGGGCAAGGTAGAGCTTCTACCTCCAGGGTGCCCCAGGATACCCCACTCTAGACAGGCTGTCCTCTATGGAGGGAGGCTTCCTGCTGGACTTCTGGTTGGAGATTTAGGGTAGAAAACAACCCCGGCGTCTAGGCCTGGGAGAAACTGGCCTCCCTTCTCCAACTCAGCACACCAGACTCTGAGTGCATCCAGGTCTAGTCCAAAGATACACACACACACTCAAACTCGCCCATGGATCAGGTCTTCTGCGAACTCTCCTTCCTGGGCAGGGTCGTAAACTCATGGTCCTATGGATACTTGTAGTTGGACCCAGGAATTGGGATCCAGCCGGCCAGTTGATTTATCGAATCAGGAAATAACACATGAGAAATCCCAGAGTCTGGCCCCTGATCACTGCGTTTCCATCTCTGAGCTCAACCCAACACATTCCCAATATCTTTTTCCAAAAGGGTGGGAATTCTGTACAAAGACCAGCCATTGTCTTCTCCTGAAAATTCTGGAACTCTCCAGAGACTCCCTCCCTAAGGCCCTGTCCTCCACTCCAGTTGGCCCTCCCCAACACCAGGGTGGGGGCAGGGTGGAGGAGGAGGGAGACTGTGGAGGTGGCTTCTCACCTCCTCTCCTGATAGCTGTGAAGTAAACATACCAGCTTCTAAGCCCCCCACAGCTCTTGCATAGCGTCCACCAGTCTTGCCTGAACTCTGGATCCTACTGGGCCCTTCCCCATTTTGCCCCAGTTTTCCAGGACTCCCAAAGTGCCCTCCCCTCCTTGCAACCATCTTTGGCTCTCACCTCCTCCCATCTTTCTGGAATCCCTCTTGTGTCTTCCACGTTCTCCAGAGTGCTGCCTTGCCCCTAAATTCTTTGTTTGGTCTGTCTTCTAGTCTATTTCTCTCATGTCTCTGTCTTGGGATCTGTATCTCTCTTCCCAAATGTCTCTTTCTTTCTCTTTCCAACTTGTTTCCTGGTTCTCGGTCTTCCCTCCTGGAATCCCTCGTTCTCTCCCTAAACGCATTCATTTCTCCACAAATCACTCCTCCTCCTCCTCCTCTGTCCCCACAATGTGCCTGTTATTTTTCGTTCCTCTTATTTCCTCTTGCCACCAAATCTCTCTTCTGCTGCCCTCCTCACCTCTCTCTTGGGCTATTCCTTCCTCCTCTGTCCTATTCATATTGCCTCTTTTCTGATCCTGTCGACACAAATGTGGGACTCTCTTCTTCCCTCTCCTAATCTCTGCCATGGTTCACCCTCACCCCACCACCCCACCCAAGACTCACTCTCTGGATCTCCCCAGGTCTCTGCATTCCCCCACTCTCTCTCGCCCCTCCCCCACAGCACTTGGCTTCACACTGGGTACAGGGAGCCCAGATGAAGGCTGGGTCTGACTCGAGGTGCCCCAGCCTGCTCCCCACCCAGGCACCAGGAGAGGCTGGCTGACCCATCTCCTTTCCATCCTCCCTTCCCCCAGTTCCCAGCCTCCCTCCTCTCAGCTTCCTGCTACAGCTGCAGCTGTCTGTTGTCAGGGCAACCACAGCTGGCTGGGCGGGGAGCCCCCTCCACCACCCCATCCCCCTTCTTTCCAGCAAGGCAAGGAGGAGCTGGGACAAAGCCAGCAAGAGGCAGGGTACTGGGGGAAGGGGGGGGAGGGATGGGGCTGCCTCCAGCTGTTAACCTCAGTTGCTTCTCCCCCAACCAGGCCCCAGTCTCCCCAGTTTGGTGACGCCCCAGACCAGCCTGCAGAAGGAAGCAGTGTGGGCAGAGGGCTTCTGGCCCAGTTTAATACACAGAACAAGTTAATTCACAGCAGAGGCAGGCAATAAAGGAGACTCGTTTACAAGGGGGGCACGCCTGGAGTCGAGAAGACCCCCCCCAACCCACCACCTCCCTCACTTGCAGCCTCAATTTCCCTTTTTTTTTTTTCTTTAAAACCCGAACAATAAACACACACAAACACAAGGAACAGCCACGCCCCCTCACCACGCCTGAACTGGCCAGCGAGGTGGCAAGGGACACCCCCGGCCTGGCCGGGTGGGGAAGTGGGACGGGGAAGGAGGAAAAAAATGAATCCGTTGTTAAGTCTGTGCTTCTCGTCCCAGCAGGCACTGGGCAGGGGCCCCCCCGCCTTGCCCCACCGGCCACTGCCCACCAGCCAGGGCAAGCGTGGGGGTGGGCACAGGGTGGGACTCAGAGTTCAGGGGCAGGAACAGAGTTCAAAACCATGAGTCACGTCATGCAGTATCCACGGTGGGCACCAGACGGAGCGTGGAGTGGGGCTCCATGCCCACCCTCCCTGGGCACATGGCCGAGGCGCTCACCTTGGATTGGAGGGGTGGGGGATGCTGCCGGGACAGCTGCAACTCCAGAAACAGGGAGGGGAGGCCAGGCAGGAAGTTGGCATGGACTGGTGCCCCGTGGCTCTCAGCACTGCCCCTCCACCCAGCAGGCCTTATAGGACTCTGTATATATTAATTTCTTCTTTTTTTTTTAAACGGTTTTTTTTTTTTTTTTTTTTGTCTTTTTCTTTAGAAAAAGGCTCTGTCCATGTCCCGGGCTGGCCTCCATCCCCCTGTGCCGCCCAGAGGCGGAGTATGGCTTTGATGGGAGCAGAAGCCCCTGGTGCCCATTTGCCAAGAGATGGGGAAGAGGGGTAGGAAGGGAGCAAGGCCCAATGGGACCGCCAGCCCACAGGGCAAATATGGAGGAGGGCCTGGCCCCCTCGGCCCCTCCCTCCCCCGCTCCCACTCAGGGCCTTTAGGAGACAGTGAGGGAGTGGGTGAAGCAGGTCAGCAGGCACCACCCACAGGTCTCGGTGAGCCAGAGCCAAGTTTAGGTCAGAGTGATGTAGGCAGAGGCTTTCTCTTTCAGGTGCCGAAGACAGAGATGGCAGCTCCAGCTTCCTGCACGGTGTCCAGAGGACAGGGGTCTTAGGCCCGGGTCCAGGGAGGGCTGCCCAACCCCCTACCATCATCCACAGGGCACAGGCTGACATGGCCTGAAGACAGACTTCCAGCCTGCTAGCCACCCACCACAAAGTGCCCACCTCTTCTCTCACCTTCAGGGGGCTCCGCCATGGGGGGACTCAAGCAGTACATGTGGTAACCTCTATCGCAGTCGTCACAAAAGAGCAGCTGGTCCTGGGGGGTGAGACCCGCCCAGCTGGCACCCTGGGGGCATGGGCACCAGAAACCGGGGTGGGGGGCAGGGGCTAGGTAAAAGGGACTGGGGGAGATGGTCCCGTCCAAGAGAAGGGACTTTGAGAAAAGTCTTGTACACCATGGAATCTTTGTGGGAGCCCCTCCTGGCCAAGCAAAGACAGCCCTATGGATGACCAATTTGCAAATTGGAATCTGGGTTTCCCACGGTTCTGTGGAATATTTCAAATGATCCTCAGGTGGTCTGACACTAGCTCTGCAGTTTTCCGGGGATGGGGCAGGGGGAGTGACCTTGGGCAGGCAGCCTTCCCTCTCCGAGCTCAGTTTCTTCTCCATCAGGCAGGGACTGGGAGGAGAGCACCTACCTCGGAGGGTGGTTGGGAGAGTCAGAGAGATGAGGAGGATAAAGTGCCGGGCTCAACTAATGGACACTAACAATAATAATAAAACACGTTACTAGTGTTCACCAGGGAGGGTCTCCCGGAGAGGAGGTGGGCTCAACTGGCAAGGTGGAGGTGCCAGGTGGGGAGCATGGTTGGGGGAGTCCTGGGGCCGGGGGGCAGGCAGACACTCACATCGTTCTCTGAGGTGCCACACAAGCTACAGGATTTGCACTCGATGCACTGCCAGCGGTAGGTCCGCACGGCTGCGGTCATGTTCACCGTGAACTGTAAACACGAGGGGTGTCCTGGGGGCCGAGGGGGCAGGGGTGTAGGTAGGGCGTCCTCACGCCCCTGGAGGAGAAATGGCTCAGCCCTCATCGCTGGTTCCTGAAGCCCGGGTTACACTGCTGGCTCCATGCCTGACCTCACACCTCGAAGTCAACGAGGCCACAGCCACGTCCCACCACACGGTGTCTAGCCACCAGCCGTTCTGTAGCCACCACGTGCTCCCAACCACTCTGCTCCCCTGAATACCATAGCAACTGCCTGCTAGCACCACATGCCGTGGCAACCACGTTCTACCACCCACGATACCGTGGCAACCACAGTGCTGAGGTAGTCACATTCCGTTACCCACAACAGAGAACAGCAAACAGATCCCACTAACCACAGTAACATGACAACTACATCCTCCCAGGCCCAATGCCATGGCAACTCACCTTCCACACCAGTTCTCCCACACCTTGGTTCCATGCCACCAGAGCCCATAGGATGCCCCAGCAACCAAACGGCTACTAGCGATAGCATGAAACGCGTCCCACTGTGTGTTGTGTAGTCTAGCCAACATCTACCATCCGTGACGTCCAGTGTCCACAGTCCACCACCCTGGATGCCCTAACAACTGCATTCCACTATAACAAATTACCATGACCGCCATATTTCCCTATCCACAACACCATGATAACCACAATTCATTCATTACCCACTGTGCTAAAACAACCACAAGTCCACCCTGGGAAACCACATTCTACTAACCACAATTCTATGGCAAGCACATTCTGCTATCCCTAGTACCCAAGCAATGGCAATGCATTACTCATCTATCTTGGCCACAATCTACTACCCACAATGCCTTGGCAACAATTTTTCATTACTCCTAATGCCATGACAACAACATCCTCAAAGCCTCACTGACCCCTCAGTTTCCCATAATCCTCAGTGGCTAAGTCACTCCCAGTGCCCTGCCCCCCACCTTCCAGGTCTCGACTTCCAGACTCCTCCCCTCACGGATCCCAGGTCCCAGAAACCTCACCTGATCGCCCACAATCAGCACAAGAAATGAGGTCCTCGGGACAGCCTGTCTTCTTAGAGCCACCCAAGCAGAAGTCACAGTAGCCATTGGGGAT